TGGCGCTAAGAATAGCAAGACTCACTTTCGTTGCATAATACGGTGCTAGGGATATGCGTGAAAATGTACCGTATGCACGGTGTGATGGTGAGTTTTATCAGAACTAGTGTAGCAGAGGAATTCATGCAAGGTAGGTCTAATTAGATTGCCATGACACCTCGAATCTATTGCGAAAACGAGATCAAACTACTTCTATACAGCGAACGGAGTCTGCTGCCAAAACTGAGGCCTTAATATCTTGATCTTTAATCTAATAAGAACTTATTTTTACAATCCTTACTCATCATTAGGTCATCTCATCTTTTAGAGATAGATATGACCCATTATAGAGATCCGGATGATACGAGAATGTCTGCTCCTGTGATCGACCTTATATTGGCGGTACCTATCGGCCAATCTGTAAAAGATAAGAGGAGCACAAAAAGCTTGTAAAGGCTGCTGGTTAGAACGTTCAGAATTTGCGGAACATATGGTAGAAACTGAGTATGAGAAAAATCAGTCTCTTATGCAAAGGTTTACTGATTATGCTATGTCTGCTACAATACGCAAGATAAGAGAGGTCATTGAAATTAATAGATTAGGGACTAAGTTGAGTATGAGGAATGGTGGTATACAGTTGAGTAGAGATTACTTATGCTTGGTTGAAAGCTTGAAATAAAGAGGTTATTGAGTCGTCGTCCAAAAAAAACAACTTAACTGAGTTATGGTTCTGACCAAATTAGCACTTGTTCAATAGACATGTCAAGCTCATCAGCCAAAACAGACGTGTGTGGCTAAGCAATCCTAGTCAAGCATGTTCTTGGATCATTAAAACTTAACGCAGACTAGCAGGTTCGGACTGGAGGTTCCATAATCTAAATTTCACGTGTATAGACTTTCATTTCATCAATTTAACCAGAGTTACTTACGGGCTAACGCAATCTTGATTTTCTTTTTTTTCTTTTTCCTTTTGAAAAGCCTTGATGACCCGGGACGGAGGTTAAGCTTTTTTGTAATTATTCTGAGGTACCACCGGTTTTACGTAAATCGCTAACAG